CAATTATTATTAATTGCTTTACAGATACAGAACAGAACAGAATAGAGCGGAGTAGAGTAGAACAACCGACTCGCAAAACCCAAGCGGAACACACGACTGGAATAAAAAGTCAGCACAAGCACAGCTAGAAAATCTAGAGCAGGAAACGCAGCTTTAATTACCCTGTCAGATACTTTGGACAGTCTGATAGTCCGATGTTTACAAACAGCTCTATTCGAGAAAGTGATCCGGTGTCCATTAACTTTCACAGTTCCATAAGCTACTTACAATGGTTTAAAAAATGCAAAGTTAGTTTATTAAACATGAAGAACTGAAGAAACACGGCTCAGAAATGTATGACAATCCATATTTGGATCAATATTTCCATTATTACGGTCAAAAAACCAATTCTTTTTTGTGAAAAATTGGGATCTGAGTTGTTGCTCAAATTTTGAATTATTTCTTTTGGTTTTTTTGCTGTAACTTGGTCAAAAATGGTCCTACACTAAAAATACATACTGTTTTAAACAGATAACAAAATTTGCAATAAATCCATAAAACTTTCCGTGTGATTTTGGAAAAATAAAATTTTTGCCAATTTTCAATTTTTTTATAAGGGGGTACCCCATGATTTTTTGCGAAAAATTAAAAATTAATAAAATGTCTAGGTTTAAATGCCAATCGTTAGGAAATTTAATAACGAGTTCAGAAAGGTATGACAATCCATACTTTGAATCAGTATTTGCTTTGGGCCAAAATACTGGTTTAATTTTGTGTAAAATCAGTAGCATACCGACTGAAGAAATCCCTCAGTGATGCAGACTCCTAAAATGTGCGGCATACTCTCGGGCAAAGTCTGGAGACGACTTGAAGTGGGTTTAGTCCACTTGGCAGATGAAACCCATAGCCATTTCATCCTGCAGATGGGGAGAAAGGAAGAGGAGGAAGCGGAAAAAAGTGGCACACAAAAAGCGGCAATAATAATAACAATAAACCAGGGCCAGTAATAGGAATAGGAGAATGGAGCCAAGTGCAAGCTGTTGCATAATGCTACTGTTGCTACTCTCGCCACTGACTCGACTCGGGCTAACTGGATGGATGGATATTTGGACGGATGGCCGGGCTCTTGGCTCTCAGGGCTCATGGCTCATGGCTCTTGGCTCATGGCAATTGCCAAGCGGATTTTCCGCTCCAGTGCGCTTTTCCAGCCGCCAGAAAAGTCTTGGACAGAGCTAAAAACTGAGCTGAGCGACGCACTCAAGCGTTCACATTTTTAATCATAATATTTTAAACAATATAATTGCAAAACTAACAAAAGATGCAGTAAGCAAATGACGATGCACAAATTGCCAATAATTCGGCTCTTGTGAAATTTCTGAAAATTTTGCAACTGATTGAATCGATTGTTAAATTGGATTATTGAACTATGAACAGTTTCTGCACGAAGAACAATGTAAAATCCTGTTGGATCTGGAAAAATCTCCAAGAAATTGTAAGAAAATCAATGTTAGCATTTAAACAGCATTTAATGAAAGAAAAATGTAATTACATTGAAATTAAAACAAATGGTTTTGCATTTTTCTTACACTTTAAACATATATTTATTACTCACTAAAATTGTATTTGTCGAAAGACACCTCATTTGCTAGAATCTGAAACTCCTTTAAAAAGTTATAACAAAAACAACAAAAAACAAAAACAAAACCAGTTCAGATTGCTTGCACTGGGCCGTCAGTATTTTAAAGACTTCGCCTATGTAGGTTAAAAATAGCTTCAAAAAGCAAGTATAGTATTTCCAAAGCATATACTTACGCTTTTTATTTTATTTACTTTACCCTTTTAGTTTAATCCTTAAGTCGAAGATCCTCTAGTTTGGGGATTCCCCAAAAATCAACAAGTTCCAGCCCCGGCCCGAAAGTATGCAACGCGTGCTCGCAACAAGTTCGCCAAGCCCGAAAGTATGCAACGCAACATGTTCGAGTTCCACACGGTCCACTGTGTGAAGCGTGTGGATGATATGTTAAGAAAAGTAGTTCGTTTCTTTTGGGGGTTTTTCGTTTTGCATTAAATCTTTATTTAATTCTTTTGCGCTTTTCTCGTTTTCCAGGCCAAGTTCTTTCGCCAAGTTCCACTTTTCGACTTAAAACGTTCTATCTCTCTGGTAATAATTCATATGCATAACGTTACTTACAGTTTTCGCTTAAATTAGTATAATAGTAATCATTAATTAATAATAATCATAATAAGGTGTAAACTCCTCTCGTTTAAATGCCCGTTGTTGTTGGTATTCGGTATCGTAATCGTTATCGTTATCGTATCGGTTGTCTATATAGTGTACTGTGCTGCGTTCTTTCGTTACGTTTTCATTAGTTTTTATAAAATATCACATTTTAAGCTTTTTTTTGTTTGTGGGAAAACCAAAATTTCGAACGGAAAATTCATCGGCAAATTAAAAATCGGGCGATGTGGCAGAAGCAAAGCAAATCATCTAGCGAGACCCAAAGAACGCCAGCACTTTTGATCGTAATCGAAATCGAATTGGTAATCGTAATTGTAATCGTAATCATGATCGGGATCGGTTTTTCTTAGGATCGGATTCTTTATCCTGGATCCATATTCGTTATACATATATTCTTGGTAGTGGTTGTGCTAAAACTTTGCTTTATTTTACGATTTATCCAATATCTAATGCGCCTTTCTGCGTTACTTCGCGTTTTAATATTTTATGTAGACATTTAAAAGTCTGCAAAGTGCAGCTTGGGAATTTAAAATTGTAATTTCATCTTGTAATTTGTATATGCATGTCTGTCACTGTGTGTGTGTCTTTAGTTTTATTTTCTCTTATTGTGTGCGTGGTGGAAAGGGCGCCATCATTTAATAGTCGCCACTTTCGTTTCGACAATCATATCATTTCTCATAGCGGCTACAACTTGATTCTAGAATTTCCCCTATAGTGCTTCGCCTTATCATCATCGTTTGCTTCTAATTGTGGACAGGATATAGACAGGACTTGGAAAGTGTACGGAAAGATACATAAGACAATTTGATTTATAAGTAAAATCCCTACAAATTTTCAATGAAAATCCTTTAAAATGGCCCAAAGTATGCAATAAAAATGTTACTTCAGCTTACAAAGTAAATATATTGCAGCATACTTTTAGACACCTTTTTGAGAGGTTTCGAATAGCCAATATGTCCAAAGAACTTGTTTAATTAGAGGTTTCGTCACATCTCTCTACTAAATCAACATCCCTAGTCCTTTGTCTCAGGGAATTCATTTCTGGCCGAAGCTCGAGGTCTTGCAGTTGGCATTTTAACAGCTCTTTTCCCTCATTGTTGAAGTTGTGAGTCGAGGAAAATGGACTTTTGTTTGGCTGGGGGAAAGTTTTCGAAATGGAAATGAAATGGAAATTCTTTACAATGTTTCTCTATAGCAGTGCCTGCTGTGTTCGGGTGTATGGGTGTGTGTGGCGGAGGAGGTGTACATTTACTATTTATCATTTAGTATACACATAGGTATGTATGGGCTTATATATGCATTTGCTTAAGACACATTTTTCAATAAGTAAGTGGAACAACTTGCCAACTGTTTTCGGTTTCAACTACATGCACATAAATTACAGATTTACTTTTCTGTGTTTTTTGTTTGTTTTAAATGCTTTTCCATCGATTTTGCTTTTTTTTGCGCTTTTTTTGGCGACACTCAAAGTTGACAATGGCATTGACAAATATTTGATTATTTTACTTTTCTCCTTATCTTTCGTCTGTTTTGTTGTTGTGCGTCAATTAAATTGTTTATGTGTCCAAATTTATTTACAATTTGCTTAACACTCAGATCTTAGGTTACCAAAAAAAAAACACGTTTTATTAAATATCCATTTTTTGTTTTATTAATATTAATATTCGTATAGTTATAATCCACAATCTTTACTCTATGTACAAGCATTGCTACGTTATAAATAATAAAAAAAAACGCATATATTTAGATTTATATATATTTAATGATCATGTTTGCTTTGCGCGCAGACAACATGGTGGTGCAATCTTCTAGATCTAGTCTCCACGTTCGTCCACAAAAAAATTATCGCTCTCACGTATTTCTAGTCGGGATGCAATAAAAAAAATTGGCTTTAACATAGTTTCGTATGTACATGAATAAATATATATAGCTTTATATATATATATTTAAATATATTAAGGTGTGTGGGTGTTTGTGTCTGTGTGTTTGTGTTTTTGCGTGGGGTGAGTGCGGGTTACATATATGTATATACTATATAGACATATGCCTAACATACAGTTAATTAGATAGCGGTGCCAGATCTGCCAGATGGTTAATAATACATATATTTTGAATATATATATTTATCAATTCTGTGCTTAGTAACGATTAGTTTTAAAATGTTCATCGGCCGCCAGGAAAAAAAATCTTCGATATACATCTATTCAACATACGCAATTCGTTCGTCGGTTATCGGTTATTGGCTATCGTATCGCCTTTAATCGCTTTTATCGTTCGTTTTCTGCCTCTTCAGGGGGTTCTTCATCATACTCTCTTTTTCTTTTGTCTATTTCATGCATTTCTTTTTTAGTTACTTTGTTGTAGGTACCTTGCGTTTCGCTTTAAAGTGATTCCATATCCTTATCCCCCCTTTCTTTTTATAATCCTCTCCCCCCTTACAACATATCCGCTATGGAGCCGTAGTGCTGCTCCTGGCAAATCGGACGACAGCACTCCTCCACGGCGTCGTACTTGTAGTGGCGCCTCCGGTTCATCTGACTCCTGCGATAGTAACTTCTCCCTGGCTCCGGCTCCTCCTCCTCCTCCTCCGGATGATCCTGTTCCTCCTTCTGACCTTCCTCCTCCTCTTCCTCCTCCTCCTCCTTACTGCCCATCTCCCCCTGATCGCAGATATCCAACTCGAAGGGATTCAAGCGATCCTGGGTGAGGGAGTAGCGATTCTGGGGCGGCTGCAGTGATGATGTGGACGATGATGTTGACGCTGATGACGTCAGCTGCTGATGCTGATGATGACGACTGCGGCTACTGTAGCTGCTGTAGCTGCTGCCGCTGTTGGGTTGGTGGTAATAATGGATGGCATGGCATGAGGCAGTCTTTGTATTGTATTCCTGTAAAATAATAGTTGAAAAATATAATTATTTTTGGGTACTTTATTGGGTTAAAATTCGTGTTTTTATAACTAGTAACTAAAATAATATTTAATATAAATAAAATTATATTATTTATTTTAAGTATTTCATTAGAATAAAATATTATTTAATATATACAAAAGTTATTAAGTTTATTTCTACTTCAAAACGATCCTCACAAATAACTAAATCCCATTTTAATGGAAACCCGTCAGCTTTAAAAGCATAAAAGCCGGCGCTTGAATAAATAAATCGAAAGCGCTCTGCTGTAAAATTAGTTTTCGCCAGCCAAGGGTTTTGATTTAAATAACTTTTATATTTCGTTATTGGCCCTTAGTTTGATTTATATTTGATAGTTGAGCTTTGTGTGCGGAATCCCCGTTAACTGGTAGTGAACATTTAGTGAAAATCTAGTGCTGCACATTGGTTAGAAATTCGGGACGAATTGAAATCCTAACCGATTGAACTGTGATGCCTTACAAGTTCAACAAGTTCGGGGCTTTTTTGGTCAAGTCAAGTGAGGAGATTCCCGCAATTGACTTTTGGCAGCTTCTTCTTTTATCCACTTCCGTTTCCCCTCTCCTTTTTCCCTCTCCCTTCTGCTTCCTCCCAACTTTACTATATTCACTTCCCTTCGCTCGACTTTTCCTCCTGCAAAAACCAACTGAATATTGTCTGCGCTAAAATTTGTTGCCACAATTTGTGCAACAAATTTTGTGCTCCCAGCTTTTGCTTTTGCTTTTGGCCTTTGGATTTTGGATTTTGGCGCACTGCCTCGACATCTGTGGCCGTGTGTAGAAGAGTGTGTGTAGAGTGTGTGTGTAAATAACCAACATAATGGCAGAAAGGTCGCATTCTCATAAAGTTGGCGCTGACTTTCAGGGGTATCCTGTACCTCCTCTACCTCCTTCTGTGTGGCCCGCATATTATCAATAAATTGCATCTGACTGCCAAGCAGACAACAAAACGGTAGCCCTATCTGCAGACCCCCCACCCTCTTTTATGACGCCCCATTTGACGCCCACCACCACCCACTTGACTAACCCGTTATTAAGCGAGAGCTTAAACACTGCGGGGAAATGCAAAACATTCGCCTTAGTCAGTTAATTCGGATTATTTTTTGAATTTAAAAGTATTTAATTTTATTTAAAAGTTTTCTTTATTTCTTTCTTGCCATCTCTAAACATTTTTTTAATAGCTTTTAAGGAAGGGAGAATTTCCCTGTCTTATTCAACAATTTATATTTAAAAACTAACTTTAGCTTTTCCTTAAATATATTAATTATTTTTTTAAATAATTAATTAATTAAAAAAGAGCTAAATAAAATAGAGCTACATTTTAAACTTCATTTTTCCATTTAACAGCAAAACTTCCAGACATATCCTTCCACTTAAAGAAGCCCTCTCACTCCCATTTTTTCTCAGTGCTTTACGTAATATGGGCTTGGGCCCTGTCACACCGCACCTTGTTCTAATTTATTTATTGTTGCATGCATGTGCTTTTATTGGACGTCCTCCAAGTGGAGGAGGGGTTCCATATAAACCCTCTGCCGCAATATTGCGAAGAAGGGAAGAGAAGTCCGTTGCTGGACTTTAACAATTATGTTTTGCCGGGTTGTTCGGTCAAAGTCAACAACAACAACGAAAATGTCTGACAATTTGATGCACTTGCTGGTGCCATTTGGTGCCAAAGTTATTAAGCACTTTTCAGGGGGCATAATTAAGGGGGGTGGAAGTTAAACCTGAGCTCAGCGCCCGGCTGACCCATAAAAACTGGACTGAGTTTTAAAATCGGCTTAAGCAGGCAAATGTATTTCGAATAAGCCACACACATTCAGTGGGCTGCCTTCCCCTTTCACCTTTTCGTTTCAAGCTTATTGATGTCGACGTGGGTTTTCATGCCTCAGCAGCAGCAGCAGCAGAGGCAGGGGCGTAGGTCAAGGGAGTAAGGAGGGGTGCAGACTCGTCTGCAACGTGACAAAACCCATTATAGATGCGACCGCAAAGATAACACTCGCTTTTCGGTCCAGACTCGACTTCTGATGGATGCCCAAACACAAGTGTCAGGCCTTGGGGTTTGGGGCGGTTTTCGGGTGGTTTTGGGTTGGTTTTCGGTTGGTTTTATGGGTGCGGGCAAAGGGCAAGGAGTTACCAGTGATGGTACTGCATAAATCGAAAATTATCTTAGTTTTAGAGATTTTTCTAAAATAATAACCCCACTAAATAAAATATCTAAAATATATTTAAAAATAATTATCAACCCCATTTTCTTTAATAGATAAAACTCTTTACACTCAGAAACTCACTTTTATCCTCTTTGTATATCAAATTGGTAAACAATTCTTATTCCTTAACCCCTTAATAAACCCTTTTCCAAAAACTTCTTAAAATGACTACCCAAAAAATCCCCCATCACTAAAAGAGAAAACGAAGGGAAGGCTGTGTTCCAAAGTTTCCATAAATTTCATTTTGTAACCATCAAAAAGTTAAGTCAACGATAAATTGAATGGCTGCATGATTGACTGAATGAATGAATGAGAGGCTGTGTGCTGGGTGATGCTGCAAGTGGGCGGTGGGTGGTTCGTTGTGGGTGGTGGGTGGCTGGGCAGGCTGCGGCTGTCAGTTGCTTGTCGGTCATTGTGTGGCTCGTTGCGTTTCGGCCAGACATCAAAATCCACACAAGCGGGTAAAAAAAATATGAGAGTGCCAAAGAGATAAATGGAGGAGAGTATGGAATACAAACAACAAAAAATGCCTACAATTCGGAGTACAAAAAATCGCACAGCAGAGGGTAGCAAAAAAATAGCTTAGCTCCATAAACTACTTTTTAAGAAATGTCCCAAATATTTTTTGACAACAAAATTCATTGCAATTTTTGTGACTTAAATTATCCTATATATATAATAAATTATTTTTAATATTTATTACACAACTGTTTAATTGCCTAAACTCCACTAACATAAATAAATGTGGGGTATACATTTCAAGACCTTTAAGCAGGCAATTAAATGAAATTATTCAGTGGTTTTCTGGGTGCCACAAAAAAAGGAAAATAATTAAATTAACTATTAAATTTGAAATGAAAATGAAAATGGAAAACCGAGACCACAACTATTATAGCGACCACAACTGTATGCGTGCGTAAAAAAGCGTCAATATAAATATAAAGCAGGCGACAACAACAATGCCAAAAAGTCAAAAGCCGTCAAAAAGCATCATTGAGCCGAAATGGGGGCGGGGAGCAGGAGGGGGCGTGGCCGAGGTGAGAGCCAACACCTCCATAAAGCGTTTGTCTGCGTGGGCGTCCCTGCCGCCTCCTTTTTGGCCCGAAGGCGTGGCACCGACATGTGACATGTGCCCTCCTGACAACGTCATGGAAACTCCCCCCCCTTTATTCCACGCCCCTGAAAATAAAGGGGGTACAAAAAAGAAGAAGGAAGACGAAGCACCTGCCCAGCCGACAATAGTGCGGAAATATTAAATCTGCGCGTCAGGCGGCGAAAGAGAAGAAAACAATTTCGGGCAAGTGAAAATATTCTGTTAACAAAAGGGCATAAAAGGGGCGCCGAATAAGGGGCGGTAAGAGGGGTTAAAAAGGGCGCGTTTAAGTCTTTATATAAATTGCAATAAACACGAATTGGGTCGTAAGCAGGTAGCATTCAGTTTCAGCGGCAGCGACAGGAAGTCAAACTTAAAACTGATTATGTATTGATGGGGTCTGATGATGGGCGGGGGAGATAATCAAAAGAGTGGAACAGGGCTTATATATGTATGTCTGGGTGTGTATAAAAGGGCACCATCTGCCGTCCTCATAATGGATCATTTTTAAAGTGGGGAAATATGAATTTGATTGGGACAATCATTGCATATTGTCAAGTGGGGTTAGAGCCTTGAGGAGGGGAAAATTTGCAAAAAGGGTTTCATACAAAAATAATACACAGATGTGTGTTCGCTTAGAAGAGGGTTGTCCCCGGGGTTTGTTAAAAGGATTCTGAAAATTTATAAATATTAAGTAAACTAAAATGTTTATAAACACCTAAATATAAATAAATAGAAATAAATTGAAATTTCCCAAAACATGTATATTATATAATTATATCTTCATTCTTTATATCAAAATAATTGCAAGTAACTTAAAGGTAATTTGTATTTTTTTTAACGTGCATTGAGTAATTATTTTTGTTGAAAATCTCTTTAAATGAGGCCAAGTTATGGTGGGTCAGTTACCGAACCCAAACCCCCATTGCCGCCGCCCATTTATCAAATCCCCGAAGGAAAGAAGCAAAAATCGTTGCCTACTTTTTGGGGCCATGCACTTAAAGTTGCTTCAAGGCGCCGCCGTCGAAATTGTTGTTATTGTTGTTGTGTTGGGAAATTTCTGACAGGTCATAAATTGGCGCAACGGGCGGTCTTTGCACCACCCTCCTTGCATTCGAATGGGGGGATGGGGGTGGCATTTCTGGGTGGAACAAACACACCCACACCCAACGAGAGATATATATTCTGATGACCAAATGTCGGCATTGTCGACGTTGTTTGTTCGCTGCTCGCCGGCAAACAAAACCAAGCCAAACGAAATGAAAACGCATTCGCAACAACAGCTCTTGCACAAATACAAATAAAGGTGTGAAGCGGCACAACAACAATGGGGGCCATAATAATAGCAACAAGAACAAAAACAAGAACAGCCTTCATTTACATATATACAACGTGTGTATTTTTTACAGTTAATGAAGCGACCAAGGACCAACGGGAAAAGGACCAAAGTATGAAAAAAATAAAATAAAAACAAGTGGCAACGGCCAAAGCAAACAAGGAATGCCAATTTACACTCGAAACAAAAGTCCCGTGATTTATAGTAAGTTTTTAAAATACGTTTAAGAAATGAACTATTTATAACAAAATTAAATAAAACTCATTTTCCAAAGCTAAAAATGCCTGAAAATCTAAGAAAATTATAAGTATATTTTCCATTAGCTT